CCGGCCCCGCCCCAACACACGTGCTGTCACTCACTCGGTCCCCCGCCGCACACTCGTGCGGTCGTTCAGCACCGGGCCCCGCCCCGTCCACGTGCAGTCACTCACTCTGCCCCTCCGCCAGCGCACTTGTGCTGTCACTTAGCCGGGCTCTGCCGGAGCAGGAGGCTCAGCTCTGGCCGCAGGTGGACACTCGGCCGTCGCCCCATGGACGCCGCGCTCCTCCTCGCCCTCGGGCTGCTGGCCCAGGTAAGGCGTAGGCGCCCCGCGGGCCCCCGCCCCCAGCTCTGCCCGACGGAGCCTTAGAGGAGGGCGCCCCGGCCTCCCCGGGACTCCTGGCCCCGCTGCCTTTGTGGGCCGGTGAACCGAGGGTCCTGCGTGAGGCTCCGCTGTCCGGGGCGCTCTGTGCCCCCGGAGTGAGGGGGGTCCAGAGGCGAGTGTAACTGCCTCCGCTGGACTGGACAGGGAGCCAAGCTGGGGGCTGCCAGGAGGCCACCTAGCTGCCCAGTCCCTCCCTCTGAGGTGTGCCCCTCAGCCCTGGGGTAGTCAGTCTTGTGGTGCAGGGCAGGGAGAGGATGGAGCAGCAGGAGCACCCCCAGTTGCAGGAGCTGGGAGGCCAGATTTTTGTAAGGACTGCTGAGTTGGCCGGTAGTTCTGGGGGAAGTCTGAGCCCCCTCTCCATGAGCCCTGCCAGCAGGAACAGCTGCACACTCCACCCTGCAGGAACTCACTATCCCCTGGAGTACCCTGTGCCTGGGGAAGCCAGGTCCCAGCACAGCCCTGCTGGTCCTCCAGCCTCCCCATCATGGGAGCAGGATAGGTAGAAAGAATCACAGGCTGCCCCCTTGCTCCCCCCCATGGGCACCCCCTGAGTAGGGCCACATCTCCTCATGCCCCAGGCTGCTGGGCAGGCCCTAGGCTGTGCCTATGAATGGAGGGTGGCCTTTATGGCCTCCTACCTTCAGAGGACTGGGCTGAGCCAGGGTCACAGGCCAAAGGCCAGGGGCCAGGGCCGGGCAGTGATCAGAGCATGGAATTCTCAGTTCCAGTCCCAGGCCCATCAGGTAGTGCCGGAAGATGAGGAGAAGAGGCGGCCTTCCCAGCACCCACCGCAGGGCTTCCTGCGTCCCCTTAATTCCCACAGATCTCCCAGTTCCCACTGGGCAGCTCAGGTTTCAGCCCTGGCAGCTGACCAGGTGCCCACCTCCAGCCAGACCCTCCACAGCAGCTGACCCCTCAGGGCACTTAGCACCCCCGCTCCAGCCACCTCCTCCCCTGCCTTTAGGCCCTCCCACTGCCCCCCCTCAGAGACAGTGTGCCCATGTCTAGGCCTCGCTGCCCTGTCCAGCTGACTCAGACAGGGCAATCACCTAGGCTCAGCAAAGCCTCTGCCCTTCCAGACCTCTTCAGGGCCCAGATGCCTCAACACCTCCCATGCTCTCTGCCCACTTGACCTAGGAAAAACATTTCTGCCCCAGCATCCCACTCTGGGTCTGGGGGTGTCCACCTTTTACTCTCCTTGAGGGGAGTAGAAACCTCTCAGATTCCTTCCCCTCCCCCCAAGGGGTGCTACAGAATGCCCCTCCTCCGACAGCTGGGATTCAGGTGGGGGTGAAGGACGGCCAGTGGGGGCCTGGCTGCTCAAGTTCCTGCACACAGCTGCTTAAATTAGTTCCATTGTAAGGGGAGGAAGGGGGCGACCCACCCCTCCCCCATCCAGCTCAGCTTTCAGACTTCAGTCCTCTCCTGTCCAGCCACATGGGTTCTGTGGCTGCCCTTGGGCACTCTTTCCTCCACCTCTGTGAACCCCCAAGGCAGGCAGGCCCCAGGCCCACAGAGGTGTCTGGGGTGGGTCTCTGGGTGGGGGTGGGGTGTGGCCTGGAGACCAGACTGCGTAGATCCATTTGCCTTGGATGAGGCACACCCCTCCCCTCCCTGTGTCCCCTAAAAATTCACCAGGGGGCTTAGAGTGTGTATTTTCAGAGCTGACCTTTGTCACCCCCTCTCTTTGCCCACAGCGTCCCCAATAGCTGAGCTTACTGTGGGAGTGGCAGAAGGACTGGGGTAGCATGGGTGATTCTGGACAGGCTCATGCCCTGCTGGGAG